GTTCTGAAAATATACAAGCGATGCTTCAGCAAGTTTCTAAGCACAAGAAGTTTGATTGGGCGAATAGTTTACGATCAGGTACAGACCCTGGAGCCATTAACAAGAAAAATAGTAGATTGCAGAAGACTGCATTGGGATGGCAATGTTAATAAATTTGATTGACTTGGATTTTTAACCCATCTTTATTTTGTTCATATAAGAATGTTATAAAAATATATATGTTTGATCAATAATATGGGTTTATGGGATATTGTAAAGTGTTTAATATTAATAAGACATGTCTTGATTGTTCCTAAGTTTCTTCATGATTTTATTTTTTGGAGTTTTTCTTATGTTTTCATTTCAAGTTGGAATTGACTGTTATTATGTACATTTTCTTTAATAAATTAAAAATTTTCTCTAGAAAAAGAAATAAGAGATCTTAATTTTGATTTAAAGATTTCTAATTGATGATTCCATAATTTTTAATTGTTGATACTTGAAAGACCAAAGTACTTATGGCTTAGTAAGGCCAATGATAGAGCTAAGGCTCATAACAAGTGAGCTTGTTAGGGCGTTTGTGCCCATCTCCCTCCTTTGTTGTGCTTCCTATTGGGTGTTTGTTCCCATCCTTATATTAAAAAAATGGGTACATATGTTGTGGTCTTCTTTAGACATCTTTTGGGAGTATGACCCTAATTTTTATATAATTTCTCTTTCTTTTATGAAATTTACTTTTTTTTTTTTTTTTTCAGATTTTATTTCTCACTTCTTATGGCCACATTAAAACATAAACTATGTCAAATTTATTTGTATAACAGAGACGATCTATATATTTTAATTGGGTTAAGTTGAGTTGCTTACTGTGATGCATATTGATAAAATTAAATATCACATAATATCTTTATTTTTATTTTTTTTTTCCTTTTAATGAAAAATTGATGAAATTGCAATGGTTTGAAAATATATGATGTGACCCACTTGAGTAAGAAAGGCTTTTGTCACTCAAAACATAAACCCAAAAACTTAAAATCCCATCAATTTGTGGGCCTCAACACCATCAAACCGAATAAGAATCACATTGAAAGCTCAATTGCACATTTTGGAATAAGCTACCACTAAGGACAAACCCGACAACCATCTATCTCCACTTCATTTTCTAAAAGCAAAAGTATTTCTAAATTTTATGTTTTCTATCAATCCAATTGAATCTCATACCATATCTTTAAAATATTCTCTTTTCACTATATTAATTGATTAATTTTACAATAAATATGTAAATATATGATTAATATTATTTTAATAGTGAATGAATGTGCGAAACGTGTTTTACTACTGGCTAATGGATTGCCATTGAATCGTCTCTGTCCTCGGATTCGTCTGTCAAAAGGTATCCAATTGAGTTGCAAAAGCCATGACTTCTTCCAATTGAATCGGTATTTTTTTTTTTTTTTTTTTTTTTTTTTGTTGTTTTTGGGCTTTTGAAAAGTTTACAATCCAAACGAATCTGATGCGGCCCCTCCAGGATAATTAACATTTTAAATGTGTATTAATTCTTGATATAGAAAAAAATTTGTAAAGGCATCCATGTGTTAGAATAAGAAGAGGGAATTTCAAAATTTTATCATATAGAATTTGCAGCCTTTAGCCTTTATATATTTAAAAACAACTCTTTTATGTTTATGAATTAGCATTTGACAACATAATCTATTGTTCAGAGAACATCAGGACATCAATTTAGTACAGGTCATCCCTGAAAAAGATATTTTCTATAATTCAGCTCAATCCGGTCGGTTCCCTTGAATTTTTATCCAAGTACGTCCCTAATTAATATTCTATTGCATGAGGAGATGGGGAAGAAGACTGCCCTACTCTTCCAAGTACTTCAAAATTTGTTATTTTGAAACTTTTCCATTTATTATAATTTTTTTTTTTTTTAAGAAATAAAAAAAAAATTAAAGAAAATTCATTGATTTCTCTCTAGGTATCACTCATTTTCAAGCAAACCAATAATCTAGTTTAAAACATAATAATGTGTTTGCTTGTAACTGGATCATACAATCAAACAAAAATTCAAATAGAAAATAGTACACAAACTCATGTCAAGAAACAAGAAAGATAAAAGCTTAAACTTCCCTCTACATCTCTTAAAGAACAAGCATAAAAGACATGCTCACAAAACGTTAATGGAATTGCTCTACACATTTAGTACTGAAAAATATGTTGCTTAATTCTTATTCACGTATATATATCTAGGCTATATCATAGGGATATCCATAAATAGCTCCCTAATCAGTAGTTAGTAATTAGTAGGCAACATTGTTCTTCATGATTTAATAATTTCTTATAATAAGTTTATCAAGATAAGTATGACAATGGTGAGTGAATTTTGGAATTAATAAAGATATGGAATATTATTAAAGTGTACATATGGTCGACATATCTGTGCTCCATCCTTTTTTTTTTTTTTTTTAATAATTGGGGTGTCTAAGCCAATTTGTGTACACCTTAATTGATCTCTGGAGTCCATTGAATACTTTACAAGCTTAAAGAACAAAATAAGTTACAATGTTATTGTGGTAAATGACTCCAATATTTGAACTTAGGAACTCAAAGAAGAAAACAAACCTCCTTGACAACCAGACAACTCCTTGGGGTTAACTGTCCTCCATCTTTTTCAGCCTTGTAATTGATAATATTTAATTTGAGATAGCAAAACTTTTGCGGAGATTTAGAGGGACGATAATCCTCTCTGAACTTTTACGTGAACAAATATGAAGATGAGATGAATAATTAGTAAAATGAAATACGATAAAAGAAATGATTTTGACCAAACAATACATCTTTCAAGATAATTTAAAATTCAAATAAATCAAGGTAAGAAGAGGTTCTTGACTTGTTATTCCATTTGGACCACACTTGAAAGAAAGATGAGTTCCAATGTAATTCAAAGCAAATGTGAGTATCAGTTTGCTTGGCTTTTAAAATCTCTTAAAAGTTGTTTTTGAAATGTTGAAATTGGTTTCCGCTGATTTATAGTTTCATATTAAAATTGGGCGCCGGATGTTTGGGGAAAAAATACCAACTTGTTCCTCTCGGTCGAAAAATGAATTGCTTCTACTTGTGCACTAATTTATGCCGTCCAAAAACTAAAACAATTATTTGCTTTCCCTTTTCCCTTAAATCTAAACACATGTCAAATTTTAAATTAGTATAAGTTACTAATTTAACTTGGATAATAGTCCTTTTTGTCCAGAAAAAGGGTGAAAAGAGAGCCTTATGGGCGCTTGACGTTACAAGAATAACCAGTTAAAACAAAGCTTCAAAATTATAATTAAAAAGGTTTTAATCAATAAAAATTTCTGATACTATTAATAGAAAAGACTCAACTGGGGGCACAACAACAGAGACAGTAGTTAATTTTATAAAAAGAAAAATTAACTAAGCAGTTTTAACCTCAATAGATTGCCTAATTTGAAGTGAAAATCCCACCTCCTGAGAATAAGTGTGAATGGCTAAAGTGAGTATAAAAACAAAGAGAAATTTATCTCTCAGGTAAGAAGTAAAGAGGATGATCAATCACTATCTGTGATGCAGAAAACCTTTAACCAAGATTCTCAAAGGACCACAGTTTCAGTAGTGTGCAGCTTTAACTGATGATATTTTGATTAATTTCCTGAATCAAGCAAGGTATCTTCATGTATGCAAATATTTTTGTTGTAAGCAAGTTTGGATACTACAACAAGCAAACTCACCAACTAAAATTGAAACATCAATCCCTCATCTCAATCCTCCATAACCAAACAAACAACACCATATGAAAAATGGCCTATTCCAACGCAGAATTGTCATAATGGCATCGTAAAACATCATCAATTACAACGTGAATAATGGCGTCGTTTGCAAATAGAGATCATTCCGATTAGCACTCTAATTACCATTTAACTGGAAGCGAAGAATGTGATCAGTGGAATGAAGATAGGAAAGAGATTCTAAGAATCTTAATGGATGACATGATATATAAGAAAGAAAGGCTGAATCTTCAACTGATGGAACTAGTAGAAGAGATTTTCAGACAAAAGTCGTGTGCCCCCCTGGTATTAATTTTATTTTTCTTCTGTTTTCTTTGTTGTTGCTTGAGAGCCCACATGTTCCCTTAGAAACAACGAAATAAAAGAAAGAGAGAAATTTTAATCTAAGAGGCAGCTTTGGATCTATCGACTTTCTCGAATATCGACTTACCAGTACCACACATCTGGATTTGATTTTGCATGGAGCAAATTCTACTGTTTGCTGATGCATTAATTTTTCTTTCCCAAGAGGAAGCAAAGCAAAAACAAACAGAAATTAATTAATAAGAAAATATTATAAACTTTTCATAGAATAAAAAACTATACAGCTCATGTCTTTCCTTTCCAAGATGACAAATCAATGATCGAACATTTGGATACTATTTTCTTCATCATATATAGGAGGTTTTTTATATGATTAATCAAATGAAAAGTTGAAATCCACTATACATATAAAATAATTTAAAAAAATGTGTACTATAATGAAATCAATTAATATGTAAAGAGTAGATGTTTAGAAAAGGAAATTCAAATATAATCAGTGTCTGCACTCAAGTCTGCAAAAAAGTAAATGCAAAACCACCAGAAAAGAGCATAGACTTGGCAGCAGAGAAGGAGGCCCCATGATGAACCTTTGTTCGGTTAAGCATTAAAGTTTTTCATGTACCCGGAAAAGAAAAAGAATCAATTAACACAAGTAGTAGAAGAAGAAATGCAAAGAAGCAAAAGATATAGTGTGATTTGGGAAAATCCCAGAACAAAAAGCCCAAAGAACCCACATTATGTGGATGACGAAGAAGAAGAAGAAGAAGAAGGATCTGAGTTGAAAAAGCAGGAAAAGTGCAGCTAGCCATTGAAAACAATCTTTTAAGTCTCAAACATCTATCCAAAGTAATAAGAATAGATCAAAAAAAAAAAAAAAAAATACAACAACAAAGGTGAGTTGTAGGAAGAAGTGACACACAGAAGACACATATACGCAGAAAGATACACGTTGAAAGAGATGATGATATAAACGGGAAATAGAAATGTAGCTCTTGGCACACGTTGAGGCCTGTGAATGTGATGACGCAAAGTTACAAATGAAAGGTCAAATCCAAACTTGAACCAGAGAGACCTTAATTACAAGCTTCAAGAATTCTGTCTTCCCTATAGCTCAAAGTACTGATAGCTAGTCTGTTACAAATATAAAACCTTAAAAGCTTGACTTACCATGTATATAGTACCTGGTTCCTCACTATCATTGCTAACAACAAAGCATCCACTGAAAATCATAAACCAAAAAGCTTTCAAATCCACTGATATTAAATTAAAAAGTACTTAACAAAATATCTTTCATCTACATTAATCTACTCTAATCCAAACATCATCCAACCCAAATGTTAATCCCTAGAAGAAACAGAAAAGAAAAAAAAAGAAAAGAAAAACCCTAGAAACTAATAATACTAAAATCCTGAGGGAGTAGAGTAGTGGTACTACCATAGTAGAACTAATCTTCAGAAGTCAGCATCACAATATCCCCATATCCGAGTGATGGTTCCCCTCTTTTGAGTCCAAAGCTAGAGAAACACAATGGCCTTTGCTTAAATCCTTAATCATCATAAAGAGTACTGTTTTAAGTAAATATATTGAGATTGATTTTGTTGGATATCTAGGGTTTCTTACCCAGAGTGTGCTTGTTGTTATGCATCCACACCTTAAGCACATGCCGCTTCACACCACTCTCCTCACAGAACTGCTGCACCATTTCTTCATCATGCTTTTGAATCCTCCACCCAAGCTTCTCCGCCAACTCCAACATTTTATCCTTCTGTTCCTGCGTAAACTTTGTCCTAAACCTTTTCCGTGAACCCCCTCCAAGATTCGACATATCCTCTTGATCCTCCCGGCTATGTGTCCCTCCACCGGATGTCGACGGCAACGCCAGTGGCCTGTGGTGCGCCGCTGCAGCTAAGTGCAGGTAGCCAGCTGGGCTCCGGTAATAAGGAGAGAATTGTGGGACCTGACTTGGGTTGTGAAGGTGGCCATGTGGGTGGTGAAAAAAAACTTCACCGGTACCCAGAGGTCCGATTATGGCGGAGCTCTCGGTGGTTTCTTTGCGGTGGAAATTACGGTGGCAATTGCAGGCTGCACATTTAAGTGCATCAAGTGTGCCTTCTTCGCCTGCAGCAATGAACTCACCGCAACCATCCACCGCGTGTCCTCCTATCCCGACCGCATGATTCTTCAGACACTCTCTGTATCTGGGCTTCCTCGGAAGATGGGCCTCTGATACCGGTTCAGAACTCACCATTTTGACACGAGATGAGTGACCAAGTGAGTCATAACTCGTTGGCAAACCCATCTCTTCATCTTGCTCTTCTTGATCCTCAAACTCCATTAAAGCTAATTTTTTTTCGAGGAGGTTAAGTTAAGAGAAATAAACAGAGAGATTAAGAGTTGAGTTTAGAGAGAAGATAAGAGTGAGAGAGTGTGGACGTCAATTCTCCCACTCTCTGCAAAAGCAGGTGTGTTAGCTTCAATGGGTCTTGAATTTGATACACTTTCTCCTCAAATAAAAACCTTTTTTTCTCTAACCATTTTTTCACCTGCTATATCCGGTAAACGGTTTTTTTTTTTCTTTTTCTTTTACATTTTAATCCTTATTTCTTTGTTTTTTACCGCACTGTTAAAGTAAGGGTACCAGTGTGAGGATCAGATTGTGTCGACTGTGGCGTGAGGTGGAGTCGTAGTACAGTCTTGCAGTGCAGCAAATAAAAAAAGGAATCCAACGTTCACGCGCCAACCATATTTGCTAATCACTCGAACCCCAAAATCAATTCATAAATTTCATTTTCTTTCAGTTTAGTCCTAATTTCTAGCCATATATAAATCTTGAGACTAATAATATTGAAGAAATTAATAATATGCGTACAATATTCATCTGGGTGTTCATAGTTCGTCTATAAATTTCAATGCCTACGAAAACGATGCTCAAATTTGGTTCTCTAATGGGAATATTATAACATATATATACCCCTAACGTTTTCATATATCTCAAAAGTCCATTAGATTCATAAACTAGCAAACAACCTCCTTACTCCCCCGTCAATATAGATTAGAAGGCAATTTTTCTTCTTCCTTTTTTTTTTTTTTTTTTTTCTCTCTTTTTCACACAATATATCACAATAGAGAGAAGAAGGTGTAAACTCTACTCTATATCATGAAAAAAAAAAATTGCATTTGATTTTGTTTGTGCATGGAAATCAACATGTTTATCCTGGAAAGTATACTTTCTTTTTTAATCGATAAATAGGATTGTTTGGAGGTAATAAAATGGTTTATTAGGCAAGTAAATGTTTATGTTTTTGTACTATGATTCTCTTGTTGTGTTTTCAACCTTTATTTGTTAAATTTCTTGAAGTTGTTTTTCATTAATAATTAATTATGGTGTTGTTTAGTGCAAAATTATTTTTAAGCAACATCAGTAGATACTGTAAATGATTTTATTTACATTGAATGCTTGTAGTGATTGACATTATATAATTTTTTTTTCATTTTTTAATATATTTTTATTCATGTGCTGTATGTTTTTGTTTCATTAACATGCTTGTGTTTGATTAACATAACATTTATGTTAATTAAACATGTTGAATCGTTGATTATTACTTTATTAATTTAAAATTTTCATGTTTTAGTATATTTTCAGTGCAGCACTGCAGTTTTATTAGTGTCATTGTAGTTTTGCCCAAGGTAAATTGCATGTTTATGTTTAATATTACTGTAAGTAAAATGATAAAAACAAAATTAGAAAAGATTATTGTTGTCTCTTTGCTGAAAAATTTAGTAATGGTAATGATGCATGCCGATCCCTGTGTCTAAATCAATATGAGAGGTCTAAGTTGGATTGTATATTACCTTGGTCCGGGGAAATGTTTTTAGAATAAATTTGGATAAATTTTTACAATGTTTTGATTTCAAGAGTTTTTGTGTAGAGGGATAAAGATAACCTTCAATTTTGTTGATGAATTACCTATCGCAACACATGAAATGACTAGAAACAAGATTCATTTTTATTTGATTATACCTAAGAGAGTGGAAAATGAGAGATCTTGATCCATGGAAATTCCACTGGTTAGTTATTGGTTGAACTATATCCAGCACATATCTATGCAAGAATTACAAAATTTCAACTATAGATTTGACTGAATTCCATTCATATTACTAATCAAAAATCTTATTTCATCATCTATATTTTGACTTTATATGCAACATGAAATGCACAAATAAACATTACAATCATATATATGTCATTGTTCTCTTTTTTCTTAGGGTAATTTAATTAAGATTTGACATGCGTTCAAAAAATAAGTGTGGCTCTGCAAATTGATGGTAATGCAATTAAGACTTAGCATACTTAGAAAAAATTTGATGCTGTTAATTTATTTTCAATGTGTACAGGCAATGCTGTTATTTGCACGACTACATGTACTCAAAAGGAAAATATATATTATGAATATTAAAATTAATTGCAACGTTTCTTCACTTCATCATTTTTTTTTTTCTTTTTACAGTAGAAACCTTTAGACAATATAGATTGAGAGGTGGAACACATGAAGGGATTTGTTTTTGCAAGATGGAGTAGTTTTATATATAGGTGTGATATATATTTGTCGTTAGCATTTCATTTCATCTTATATAAGTGAACATTCTATTCCATTTTCTTTTTCTCTCCGTCCTCTATGTTGTCATTTAATAATATTTTTTTATCAAAATTTATTTATTTGTCAAATTTGAATAATACAGTTTATTATCCCAATAAGCACCGGTATACTTTTAGCATGCGGCGGCGCGTGTGATAATTTAAGGGGCAGTGTATAGAAGTGAGAGTGGATGGACATGAAATGGAGATATTAAGGATACGGTGTCGGCATTTAAGGCAGCTGTTTACGTGTACTAAATTCCGACAAAAGTGACGCGCCTTTGGCGTCAATGTGCATTAAATAGTTTCCCAATCTGTATTAGGGAAACAAAACAAGCGCTAGATAAGATGACGTCTGAATATGATAGATATATTCGCTTCTTATGCGCGTGCTTACACGCGATCAAAATCACATCGGTGGTGGGCCTCTCTACCTTCAGTTCAACCGTGCACTCACTGGCAAGATTCTATCACATCTCAAAATTTCTGGGAAATTTGTTTTTCTTTTTTTAAACGTTTAATAAATCTGCTTAGCCAGCCCAAAAAGCTATTTTTTTTTAATTTAAAATAAATAATTCTAAAACTTACGAATGTAAACTATTAAGATTCCTCATATTTTAATGTAATTTTTTTTTTTTTTTTTTATAATCAAGAGAGTATATATATATATATATTTTAATGATCAAGGAGTCTGTGTCAGTTTATGTTCACCTCAACTAATATTTCAGGATCTTGGAATTATCGATTGGGTAAGAACTTCAGTGACCATCAGTACTAGCATCTAAAAAGAGATTTGAATTCATAACCTCTTGAGTAATACACACAAGAGTCTCTATCGAACAACTCAACAACCCAAAGTTAATTAAGTTAACTTAAAATATTGATTCATGTTATTACTAGTAATTGATGACAAATAAAAATCATGCATATATGAAAGATAACATATAGAAAATAGAATTAGTATTACTGATCGCCCTCATTGTTCTAAAATTCTTAATTACTTGAAAGAAAAAATTGTAATAAATCTCCTTTATTTTTACCTCTGCATGTTAAAATAATAAAAATGTAGTAGAGGACCGAGAGGTTTGAGAAGAATTAAAATTATAATGGAAAGAAATATTAACTAGATAGTTAGGCGATGAAATTTTAATTGTAATGTTACTCAAAGATAAGACCAAAAAATTAAATGTAATCTAGTTCAGAAGCAAATTTCTATCAAAAGTTGATATTGAGCAAATAAACTTCAGTTCTTATGGGTTAGGGGAGATGAGAGAATTGTTTGATTGATGGCTTGAAAATTTTAATTAAATGATTAATTAATTATGTTAAATTGATGGTTCAACCTCCTAACTCGAAATTTCTAGGTCCTTCATTTGAGAAGAAAACAAGAGTAATGAAATAGTGTAGAGGGTGGTATAAATGTAACATTGCTCAATGAAATAAGTCATTGTCCCTTTTAAGATGTGTACAATTTTGATAAAAAAGTGATGGGCAGTCCATTCACATTCACATCAAAATCAGAAATGGAAATCAATAATTGAATTAGTAAAAAAAAAACCCCATCCTCTCATGCCATCTCTCCTGAGTCTTTCACCCCTTTTCTTTTCAAAATGTTTGACTAATAATGGTTTGGCTATGGCATGCATTTTAAATTTTGAGGTGACTGCACCGTGTAGAGTCTCCTTCCTAGATCAACCCACCTCTTTTTACAAATCTTATTGCTTTCCTTTTTCTTCACTCCAACAACATAAAGTTCTTCTCCGAATTACTATATATGAATACTATTAATTTGTTAATCTAATTTATTAACCATAATGTTCAGTTAACGAATAAAATGCATTTAATTACTTTCAGTTAACTGTCATTTTTAGAACTCTTGCCGACAAAGTTTTGCGGTATATGTTATCACAATTGTATAAATCCTAATGTTAATATAGTTTTTTTTTGTTTTTTTTTAATATTTGTTTAAAATGTTCATTTTATGTACAAACTATGGATTAATGACACTTACATCCCCTCAAAATGTTCCATTACACCCGAGAAAAGTCGGAAATAGTCATTTACACCCCCTGTCGTTTCTTTTGACCATTAAAATGGATGGCGGGAAGGGCAGAAATGACATTTCAAGTTACACTTGACATTGATTAAATTGGTACATAAAAGACTCGAGCCCTTGACCTCTAATTATAAAATTAAATTATTTAAATAACCAGTTTGCTCAAAGCATTTCATGTAATTATCATCTAATATTTATTTATATAAAAAAATAAACATTGATATGAAAAATCTGTTAGACTTAGTATATTAGAAATTTATGTGAAAATGTTTTATGTTTAATTATAAAATTTAATATATTTTCACAAAATTTTAAATATAATTTAACGCAAAATTTTAATATACTTTAACATAAATGTTCAGTAAACTTTAAGAACAATGTTTACTATAATTTAACATAAATTTTCAATATACTTTAACATAAATATTAACTACAATGTAACACAAATTTTAAATATGTTAAATATAACATATATTTTAATATTTTCGTATCCTATTAGGTTTCTATTTTAAAAAATATCCTTGGATTAAACTTATGCAAAATGTGTTTGGCAAAGTTGTTAGTCACTTCATTTTATAATTTGATGTCATAGGTTCAAACCTTTCAATTAACATTCTGATCTTGACAAATAAATCAAGATGTCAATGAATAAACCTTATCGTAAGTCTAAAATCTTGTCATCTTAGTATAATATTTGACCAAATGAAAGAGTGGATAGTTTTCTTAGTTGGGCTATGATTTATTAAGCATTTAATCTTACCTTAACTTCACTATT